TTCCTTATGCTGAACGTCGCAGCACCTGGTCACCTTGTCAATGCGCAGGACGGGCTCACCGGCAGTGCTTGGGGTGATTGGGCCAACTACACCGCCTCGCCGCTGCGTGCCGCAGCCGAGGCCTAAACTTTTCTAAGCTCGCCTTTTAACCTCACACTGAGCCGGCCGCTCAGCCGGCGCGGCCCGCCGAGGGCAGTGTACAGAGCGGAGGCTCGCAAAAAAGGATCCAGCTCGCTACTGCGCAGGAACATGTCCTTAAAACCCCCCTGCGATCCTATGTGTCCGGTACAGAGATGTACAGACAACTTGATTGAAAGGGGTGCAGAGGGAGAAGATGGCGCTGCGGCCAGACCGGGCTTAGCTAGGCGCAGACGCTTGATGCAGCATGCTCCGCCGCAGGCTTTGTGTGGCCCTTGCAGATTCTGACTGGTACCTTAGATTTTCCTCCAGTCGCTGCAACATCTGCAACCATGCCCTCAAGCGGGGGGCCTCCAGATTGCGCGAGCTTGGGGCCGTTTGGGGTGACGGGGTGTCTGTCGTGTTGCAGATGCTTGTAGCAGGAGCACCGCCACCAGCAAGCCCCCTCCTCCCCTTCGAAATGATCCCAACGCCTTACCCGGCTTTGCTCTTCGCGAAAGAAAGATCGAGGACCTGCGCGCCCCCTTTTGGGGCGATTTTCAGTGGCTGAAATGGCACCTTGATCCCAGGGTCAGAACATGTCGCAAGAGTCGCAACCGACGAAAGCCAGTTCGGATATCCCAAGTACCTGGTTTAACCGAACACTGGCACTCACCAAACCCTGAAACCTGAACCCGGCAAAGGCCAGAAGACTGCCATGGCTGTCGCCGCTGGTGCGGCGGCCACGTTGGCCTCTAGGGCAGCTTGGGCAGCAAGATGCAGCAACGCCGTTGCAACTTGATGAAGCTCGCCGGGGTTGTGGTTCAGGGTTTGCAGGTGCGAAGTGGTGTGAAGAGGAAAGGCAGCAAAGTGTTATCGTGACGGGGTGGGTATGGATGTCATGTAGGCATGAACAAGGGAGGAAAAGGCGGAAAAGAGAGATGAGTTTTGCATGTTTCCATGCCCAGGCCTTCGTGCAGAGCAGTCCAGCCGGTCAGGCCCCAGCAGTAACGTGGGCTAGATTTTGCTGGAGCTCAGGTGTTTTTGGGCAAGTGTCACTCAATGTCACTCAAGCACTCAGCAGAGGCGCGGTCCAAGGCCCAAAGTCCAAGGCCAGGATAGCGGCAGCGCGATTGAAACCACGGACTGGGCGCGGGACGCAGGGAGCAGCATGGCGAAGCCAAAGGCCACAGGCGACGCTTCGCGAAGGCGCGTTCGGCGCAGGATGGCGCAGGATGGCGCAGGATGGCGCAGGACTGTGACGGGATCACGATCCAGAGCGCAAGCTTTTGAACCCCATGGTGTCGGCAAACCGTCTTGGGATGTCTTGGGAATTTCGAAGAACGGTGGGAGATTCTATGCCCTTTTCGAGAAGGGCACGTTTGGCAAAGCGTTGCTGTCGATTTCGGACTCTTGCTTGGCCACGGCTGCAAAATCCGCGATGCCAGGGCAAGGCAGAAAGAACAAACGTCCCACACATTCCCACACCTGAGCTTTTCAAGCGACCCCTGTATTTGGTGGGCGGGTAGGGGGGCACGCGGGACATAGGGCATTTCGAGCTTCGAACTCCTTCGAAGCTCAGAAAGAATCTGCTCAATCCTCAAGGACTCAAGGTCGTACAATGTCATAGAACATGCACACACACACATTATCTCTCTCTCTCTCTCTCACGCACATGGGGTCACAGGCCGCTTTGTCAGCATGCCTGACACTGAGCGCAGGCTGCCCCGGAGCGAAGCAGCGTTCAGCTGCGCGGCCGAGTAGCGGCGCAGAGGAGCGCCGAAGGCGCAGTCAGCCGCCTTTGCCAAAGCGCGAACAAAGTGACGCTCCTGGACCTCTGACCAGGCAGCAGCTCCTCAAGCCTTCTTGGCTGCACGACCGTGGCTTCGGCATCAGCCGCTCAGCGTTCTCAGGGAGCGTTTTCAGGGAGCACTCCGGCATGCGCCGGGGCGTGCGTGTGTGTGGGCTTCGGGTTGAAGAAAGGCGCAGAAAAGGCTCAGGGTAGCAGCGCCATCACTCCTCCCTCCCTCTCGCGCTGCAGGCCCTCCTAGCAGCGCAGCTCCGGGGCAAGGACCGGGTCCCCAGGGGGAGGGGTTCTCTCAGGTTCGGGGCTCGGGTTGCGAGACGTAGTTAGGGTCGGGTGATGTCTGGAGCGATTTTTTCCTGTTTCGGAGTGGGCTCTGAGTGCGGATGGGGAGCCCCACGCCTTGGGGGTACATGACTGGAGCATGTGGGGTTATCGGTTCTGGGGACTTTTCTGGTTTCAGTGGGGCCCTGCGACCTTTACCTCGCTCAGCCCAAAGAATTCCAAGTGCAGGCCAGCAGCCGCAAGTCCCAGGTGCGACGGGGGGGGCCTGCTTTGGGCTGGTGCTTTGGGCTGGAAGTGGGGCGGGCCTCTCCTTTGTGCCTGTGCCCCAAGAAGAATCAGAAAGATCCCAAGAAGATCCAAGAAGTATCCTGAAGTCCTAGTGATGTCCCCAGACCCCCCAAGGGACCTTCTGCCACAGGTGGTCGTCAGCGCCTTTGAGAGCGAGCTCGGCGTTCAGGTCCACGGTCTCCTTTCTTCTTGGACATTTTTGGACACTGGCTCGTGCGGCTGACATCGCTAGGACTACCGATAGAGCGCAGGCGTAGGTCAGAGAAATCCTGAGAGGTTTGCGTGCCGTTGTGTCGCCCTAGAGGAAGGCAGTTGACACTTTAGACCGGTTCAGAACATGAAGCCTTCCACGCACCTTCCGAACTGTCATGAGCTGCGCAGGCGCCCGTGGGCTTCTGGGACCCCGCCGGCCTGAGCGCCTTGGCTGGCGTTGGAGGGTTTGGGATCGCGGTTTGAGTTTCAGGGCCGGCGCTTGCCTTTAGCGCCTCCGTGCAAACCGAGAACGCCGAACCCGCCGCCCCGTGTGCAGGTGCGGACGGCAGCGTAGAGAACTTCAAGCGCCGACGGGCCACCGAGCTCAAGCACGGGCGCATTGCAACTGGGCTGCATCCGTGCCGCGAGGATTCGCTCATGTTCGCCCAAATTCGCACATCGTATTATATCGTATTCATGAACATTGCGAATACGCACGTCCATAAGCCTCCCTGGTTTGTGCGCACCGGGATCTCCCGTGGAGAGTATGGTAACCACGTTATACAGGGTTTGCAGACATGTGCGTTCGCGGCTTCTCTTTCGCGACCCCACGTTCGAGTGCGCCCCGCCATGCATCCTAGCCTGGCACAATTTCTGCCGCCATCTCCGGGCGAAGACCCGAAGTGCCTGAGGCGATGCTGGCAACGATGGGCTACATCACCCCAGAGCGGCTTGTCCCAAATTTTGTTGTTTGCGGCATCCTTTGCGGCATCCTTTGCGGCATCCCTTGCGGCATCCCTTGCGGCATCCCTTGCAGCATCCCTTGCGGCATCCCTTGCGGCACCCTTGCATCCTCCTTGTTTTTTCCCCCCAGTAAGGAGCAGTTCTCAGACATGAGTGCAAGCAGACACGTGAAGCTGACCGCTGCGTCTTGGTCTGAGGATCACGGGCAAGTTCCCAGGGTACTTGAGCCCATCTGCCGGACTGAAGTTCGCCGACGTGCCCAACGGCCTGGCAGCCATCTCCAAGGTGCAAGGGTTGCCGGGGGAGGGGGGATGTTACTCGTAGGGCCTGCGTGCCTTAGACTCGTTCATCAGTCGCTTTTTTTCGCTCTCATGTCGTGAGCAGAGAATGGAGACGCGATCCACTTTCCGAATCTTTGCACTTCTTCGTCGCCCCTTCTCCCTTCGCAGTCTGCAGAGGTGCCCCAGGCTGGTTGGGGCCAGATCCTGCTGTACATGGCCTACTGCGAGGCCGGATCACAGGAGTCCTGTGTTTTCTGCGTCCTGAACCATCCTCTATGCTTTCTATGAATGCATGTGTGTGGAAAAAAGAAGAGCCACCGCTGCCTCAAGTTTGGTTAGCCACTGCAACACACGGTTAGGGCCTTGCACGTGGCAGTGCCGCACGTTTTGCATCTCTTGGAGAAGCCCGAGGCCTCCCAGACGCAGGAGCCGGGCACCGCGGCCTATGCTGGAGACTTCGGCTTCAAGGTTCTCACCTCCAGCGACCCGGCCGAGAAGACCAAGAAGCTGAGCCTGGGTCGTGTCTTCAGAAGGGCTTTCGGGCGACCTCTTTTTCAATTTTCGTGTGCTTTGGCGTGATCTCAAAAAGCAGCGGGGGAGGGGGTGGGCGTGAGAGGAGTGCCGAGTTGGCAAATGGCCGACTGGCGATGATGGCCATCATCGGCATGCTCCGGGGCTGCAGACCAGAGTTCCCCAAAGTTGCCTCCTTCAAATGAAGCCTGCGTAACAAGTTCGACGACACTCTTGCCGACCTTGTTGAACTGCTTGCATGTTGAGGTTCTTCCAGGATGGACTCACTGGCAGTGCGTGGGGTGATTGGGCCAACTACACCGCCTCGCCGCTGCGTGCCTTTGAGAACGAGCTCGGTGTCCAGGATCCTGTTGGGTTTTGGGACCCCGCCGGTTTTACGGCCGACGGAAGCGTGGAGGACTTCAAGCGTCGTCGCCAGACTGAAATCAAGCACGGCCGCATCGCCATGCTCGCGACAATGGGATACATCACGCCAGAGCGACTCAGATGACATGTAGTTCGTTCTGCGTGTTGCGTTAGGGCTGTCCCACGTTGCTCGAGTGAGATCTTGTGAGCCGTGCAGCGTGCACGTCACAAGGTTTTTCTTGAGTACACATGATGACTTTGCATTGCCCGATGGTGTATGGCTGACCAAGGATCACGGGCAAGTTCCCAGGTTTTCTGTCGCCATCAGCTGGATTGAAGTTTGCCGATGTCCCCAATGGCCTCGCAGCCATTTCCAAGGTTCCTGCCGCAGGGTGGGGACAGATTCTGGCGTACATGGCCTTCTGCGAGGTCTCTCAGGATCAGTCTGCCGGAACTCCAGCCGCAGCCGGTGACTTCGGGTTCAAGGTCTTGACGTCCAGCGACCCCGCTGAGAAGACGAAAAAATTGTCAGCGGAGTTGGCCAACGGAAGGCTTGCGATGATGGCCATCATCGGCATGTTCTTTCAGGACACGTGACATGAGACAAACTTGTCCAACGTTGCATGAGCATGCGTTAGCAGCTAACTAGTTGCTGGCTGTTGCATTCAGCTTTTTTCCTTATGCTGCACGTCGCAGCGCGTTGTCAATGTGAAGGATGGACTCACTGGCAGTGCGTGGGGTGATTGGGCCAACTACACCGCCTCGCCGCTGCGTGCCTTCGAGAACGAGCTCGGTGTCCAGGATCCTGTTGGATTTTGGGACCCCGCCGGTTTTACGGCCGACGGAAGCGTGGAGGACTTCAAGCGTCGTCGCCAGACTGAAATCAAGCACGGCCGCATCGCCATGCTCGCGACAATGGGATACATCACGCCAGAGCGACTCAGATGACATATAAATCGTTCTGCGTGCATGTTGCATTAGGGCTGTCTCACGTGCTCGATTGAGATCTTGTGAGCCGTGCAGCGTGCACGTCACAAGGTTTTCTTGAGTACATGATGACGTTGCATTGGATGGTGTATGGCTGACCAAGGATCACGGGCAAGTTCCCAGGTTTTCTGTCGCCATCAGCAGGATTGAAGTTTGCCGATGTCCCCAATGGCCTTGCAGCCATTTCCAAAGTTCCTGCCGCAGGGTGGGGACAGATTCTGGCGTACATGGCCTTCTGCGAGGTCTCTCAGGATCAGTCTGCCGGAACTCCGGCCGCAGCCGGTGACTTCGGGTTCAAGGTCTTGACGTCCAGCGACCCCGCTGAGAAGACGAAAAAATTGTCAGCGGAGTTGGCCAACGGAAGGCTTGCGATGATGGCCATCATCGGCATGTTCTTTCAGGACACGTGACATGAGACAAACTTGTCCAACGTTGCATGAGCATGCGTTAGCCGCTAACTAGTTGCTAGCTGTTGCATTCAGCTTTTTTCCTTATGCTGCACGTCGCAGCGCGTTGTCAATGTGAAGGATGGACTCACTGGCAGTGCGTGGGGTGATTGGGCCAACTACACCGCCTCGCCGCTGCGTGCCTTTGAGAACGAGCTCGGTGTCCAGGATCCTGTTGGATTTTGGGACCCCGCCGGTTTTACGGCCGAGGGAAGCGTGGAGGACTTCAAGCGTCGTCGCCAGACTGAAATCAAGCACGGCCGCATCGCCATGCTCGCGACAATGGGATACATCACGCCAGAGCGACTCAGATGACATGTAGTTCGTTCTGCGTGCGTGTTGCGTTAGGGGTGTCTCAGGAGCTCGAGTGAGATCTTGTGAGCCGTGCAGTGTGCATGTCACAAGAATTTTCTTGAGTACATGATGACTTTGCATTGCACGATGGTCTATGGCTGACCAAGGATCACGGGCAAGTTCCCAGGTTTTCTGTCGCCATCAGCAGGATTGAAGTTTGCCGATGTCCCCAATGGCCTTGCAGCCATTTCCAAAGTTCCTGCCGCAGGGTGGGGACAGATTCTGGCGTACATGGCCTTCTGCGAGGTCTCTCAGGATCAGTCTGCCGGAACTCCAGCCGCAGCCGGTGACTTCGGGTTCAAGGTCTTGACGTCCAGCGACCCCGCTGAGAAGACGAAAAAATTGTCAGCGGAGTTGGCCAACGGAAGGCTTGCGATGATGGCCATCATCGGCATGTTCTTTCAGGACACGTGACATGAGACAAACTTGTCCAACGTTGCATGAGCATGCGTTAGCCGCTAACTAGTTGCTGGCTGTTGCATTCAGCTTTTTTCCTCATGCTGCACGTCGCAGCGCGTTGTCAATGTGAAGGATGGACTCACTGGCAGTGCGTGGGGTGATTGGGCCAACTACACCGCCTCGCCGCTGCGTGCCTTCGAGAACGAGCTCGGTGTCCAGGATCCTGTTGGATTTTGGGACCCCGCCGGTTTTACGGCCGACGGAAGCGTGGAGGACTTCAAGCGTCGTCGCCAGACTGAAATCAAGCACGGCCGCATCGCCATGCTCGCGACAATGGGATACATCACGCCAGAGCGACTCAGATGACATGTAGTTCGTTCTGCGGGCGTGTTGCGTTAGGGCTGTCCCACGTTGCTCGAGTGAGATCTGGTGAACCGTGCAGCGTGCACGTCACCAGGTTTTTCTTGAGTACACATGATGACTTTGCATTGCCCGATGGTGTATGGCTGACCAAGGATCACGGGCAAGTTCCCAGGTTTTCTGTCGCCATCAGCAGGATTGAAGTTTGCCGATGTCCCCAATGGCCTTGCAGCCATTTCCAAGGTTCCTGCCGCAGGGTGGGGACAGATTCTGGCGTACATGGCCTTCTGCGAGGTCTCTCAGGATCAGTCTGCCGGAACTCCGGCCGCAGCCGGTGACTTCGGGTTCAAGGTCTTGACGTCCAGCGACCCCGCTGAGAAGACGAAAAAATTGTCAGCGGAGTTGGCCAACGGAAGCTGTGCGATGATGGCCAGTGCTCGCATGTTCTGTTCAGGCAACGTTAACAGAGACAAACTTGTCCAACGTTGCAATGAGCATGCGTTACCGCTAACTTGTTTCGAGCTGTTGCATGCAGCTTGCTTCCTTATTGTCTGCACGTCGCGCGCGTTGTTCAATGTGAAGGAATGGACTCACTGGAAGGTGTGGCGTGGGGTGATTTGGGCCCAACTACACCGCCCTTCGCCCGGGGCAGTTTCCTTCGAGACGAGCTCGGTTGTTCCGGATCCTGTTGGTGCTTGTTTGGACCCGCCGGTTTAACGGCCGACGGAAGCGTGGAGGACTTCAAGTCGCGTCTCCAGACTGAAATCAAGCACGGCCGCATCGCCAGCTCGCGACAAGGTGATACATCACGCAGAGGCTGCGGGGACCTCACGATGACATGTAGTTCGGTCTGCGGCGTCTCGTGGTTGCATTAGGGCTGTCTCATGTTGCTCGAGTGAGATCTTGTGAGCCGTGCAGCGTGCACGTCACAAGGTTTTTCTTGAGTACATGATGACGTTGCATTGGATGGTGTATGGCTGACCAAGGATCACGGGCAAGTTCCCAGGTTTTCTGTCGCCATCAGCAGGATTGAAGTTTGCCGATGTCCCCAATGGCCTTGCAGCCATTTCCAAGGTTCCTGCCGCAGGGTGGGGACAGATTCTGGCGTACATGGCCTTCTGCGAGGTCTCTCAGGATCAGTCTGCCGGAACTTCGGCCGCAGCGGGTGACTTCGGGTTCAAGGTCTTGACGTCCAGCGACCCCGCTGAGAAGACGAAAAAATTGTCAGCGGAGTTGGCCAACGGAAGGCTTGCGATGATGGCCATCATCGGCATGTTCTTTCAGGACACGTGACATGAGACAAACTTGTCCAACGTTGCATGAGCATGCGTTAGCCGCTAACTAGTTGCTAGCTGTTGCATTCAGCTTTTTTCCTTATGCTGCACGTCGCAGCGCGTTGTCAATGTGAAGGATGGACTCACTGGCAGTGCGTGGGGTGATTGGGCCAACTACACCGCCTCGCCGCTGCGTGCCTTCGAGAACGAGCTCGGTGTCCAGGATCCTGTTGGATTTTGGGACCCCGCCGGTTTTACGGCCGACGGAAGCGTGGAGGACTTCAAGCGTCGTCGCCAGACTGAAATCAAGCACGGCCGCATCGCCATGCTCGCGACAATGGGATACATCACGCCAGAGCGACTCAGATGACATGTAGTTCGTTCTGCGTGCGTGTTGCGTTAGGGGTGTCTCAGGAGCTCGAGTGAGATCTTGTGAGCCGTGCAGTGTGCATGTCACAAGAATTTTCTTGAGTACATGATGACTTTGCATTGCACGATGGTCTATGGCTGACCAAGGATCACGGGCAAGTTCCCAGGTTTTCTGTCGCCATCAGCAGGATTGAAGTTTGCCGATGTCCCCAATGGCCTTGCAGCCATTTCCAAGGTTCCTGCCGCAGGGTGGGGACAGATTCTGGCGTACATGGCCTTCTGCGAGGTCTCTCAGGATCAGTCTGCCGGAACTCCGGCCGCAGCCGGTGACTTCGGGTTCAAGGTCTTGACGTCCAGCGACCCCGCTGAGAAGACGAAAAAATTGTCAGCGGAGTTGGCCAACGGAAGGCTTGCGATGATGGCCATCATCGGCATGTTCTTTCAGGACACGTGACATGAGACAAACTTGTCCAACGTTGCATGAGCATGCGTTAGCAGCTAACTAGTTGCTGGCTGTTGCATTCAGCTTTTTTCCTTATGCTGCACGTCGCAGCACCTGGTCACCTTGTCAATGCGCAGGACGGGCTCACCGGCAGTGCTTGGGGTGATTGGGCCAACTACACCGCCTCGCCGCTGCGTGCCGCAGCCGAG